CTCAGGAAAAAAAACACAGACATTTTAAGGGAAAAAATGAATATACACAATACTTCTTCCCAAATCTAAATGGTATTAAAGTCTTTTGTTTTCTGGAAGCAAAGTTGCAATCAATGTTCCCTCTAAACTGTGGAGTCTTGTGAGCAAAAATTCCACTTTGTGAGCTTCTGGCATTAAACTGGTGAGTGAGCAGTTTGGCTGCTGCATAAATTAGTTTGCTCTGGAGCCCCTCCTTCCTGAGCGGAGACAAAAATGGGTTAGCCGGAGGCTAAAAAACTGTGAGCTAGTTCACACTAACTTAGCTTAGAGGGAACACTGGTTGAAATATACACAGTACTGAACAAAAGCTTGTAAACTGCTGCACCCGACACGAAGGGTCACTGAAAGGGGCAAGAAACAATCCACAAGCAAAATAGGCCCTACGCACAGCTCTCATTGGCAGCACCCTAAAGGTAAAGAAAGTCATCTTTGATCTGAGCGCTGCATTACAGGGTCGCCATAACTTGGAAGCAACTTGACAGCACGAACACACATACATCTGCAGTGTACACAGGAATTATCCTTCTCCAACTCTGGAGACTGTTCTACATAAAAATCTTCCTGCCATCCACCTCAAGTAAGACAAACTTATCTTTAAAAACACTTTACTCGTTACAAAACAGTGTTTGACAGCTCCTGTTCAGTCCTCCTGCATCAAATTCTTTCCAGGCTTTCACATCTCTACAACTCTTTCCTCTGCCTAGAATGGACTCCATTTACTTCAAAGCACCGTGTGAAAGCATTTCCTTTCACAGAGGCTTTTAGCTCAGCTCCTGAATTAACAACTGTCCCAACAGTTTTAAATTATGTCATTTGCCAATACTATTTTTTTTTTAATAAAATAAAAATCAGCATCTGGATTTTGCATCCCTAATGCCTTACGGTATTATTGCAAAACATGCTTTATCTTACCTACTGTTTCCATCACATGCTTTTCTATTTTATGACTATACTTAGTACATTTTTAATCTTGAGTGAGATGGGATGCAGGAACAGACGGACCACTGGTCTGCTCCAGCAGGACTCTTCTTAATCCTACCCTTCCGACAAGGAGCTCTGGGCAGCAAACTGAGCTCTCCTACATTTCATTCTAACAGCAACACTATGACATATGTTAGGCTGAGAGAGACAGAGAAGTGATTACTGCAAAGTCACCCAGACAACTTTCATGGTTTCCCCATTCTTCTGCCATATACAAGAACCCTGCAAAGAAGGTTATGCAGAAAGAACATGGCCGGCCTAAGCAAGAGGCACAGCAAGCAGGGATCTGAACTAATCCGAACCCACTTCAAGAGCCCTACAGGCTAGGGACTACTGGACATATAGTTCATGGCCCCGGTCACATGGGCCGGAAAACGCGGGGTGGTGCTGGTGGTGGTGGTGGAGGCGTGGCTCTTTGCGCTGTCACAATCTGATGCGCAATTAGGCGATCAGACTTGAAGGCGGCACACCGGGGCTTCCACTGTCGGGGTGCGCAGCAAAGAGGACGCCAGCGTGATCACACCACAGGAGTCCGGAGGCAGCCCGTGGCAAACCATTTGCTGGTAGGTTTATCCTGGTAGCTTTTAACTACGTGGCTTTGGCGGCTTGGCCACAGGAGTGCTACGCCTTCCAGATGTTCTGGTGAGATTGCACCCGGAATATCCGCCGGATGACCGTGCCTTCAGTGGGGCAAATGCTCCATGTGACCGGGGCCCATGTTTGTTAAAAAATATAACTCCAATAAACAAAGTGTGACACAGTGGCCTGAGTGCCTAATTGGGATCTGGACGACCTGCCTTCGAATTTCTATTCTGTCATAGAAGCTTTTGCCGTGATTCACTCCCAGCCTAACCTACCTCACAGGGTCATTGTGAGGATAAAATGGAAAAGAATTACAAAAGCTACTTTGGGCCCTCAGTGGGGAGAAAGACGAGCAATAAATGAAGCAAACGAATAAAGGCACCGCAGCCACTGCTGTACATCTGCCAGCCATATAACACAATACAAAACAGAAAGGAAAACTTCAGTGGGTATCAGAATAACATTATTTGGAAAAGTAGTCTCCGAATGTAAATAGTACTGCTATGCACCTTTCAATAAACTTTAACACACTGCATTCATTTGTATCTTACATTTTCTTTATCATACATTCTTTGAAATAATCTTTCTAAAAGCTACAGATCACATTGGGATTTTTTTACATATCCTTTAAGGCACAATTCACACATGGTAACAACCAGAACTTGATAACAACTTAGGCCTTGAAGATTTTCTCCAATTTGGTTGTTGATAAAGACATTCAAAACAGGCCGTACCGGAGGCACATCCAACAATAACACCACCACCAACACGGGATTCTTTGGAAACAAGTGCTTCACCTTTCGAAAGTTTTGAACTGTCGGCATCAATACCTATACGTTTTCATAGTCAAGTTCTGGTTGTCATCATGCGTGAACTGTGCCTTAAAGGCTTTGTTTAAAAAAACAAACAAACCCAATGTGATCTGTAGTTTTTAGGAAGATTAATCCAAAGTTTTCTGGGGACCTATATTCACCTGATATCCCGTTTGCTGTTACTGTGTATTATGCTATCTACTGTTTCATTGTTTTTATTGTTCTATGGATTTTATGTTGTAAGCCGCCCTGAGACCACTTGTGGAATAGGGCGGGGTACAAAACAAACAAACAAAGAATGCATGATAAAGAAAATGTAAGGCACAAATAAACGCAACGTGTTGAAGTTTATTTAAAGGCGCATAGCAGTACTACTTACATTCGGTAACCGAGCAATATAACGCAGGCTGCCCCTGAACATGGAGGCTCTACTGTGTCACACACACACCCCCCCCCCGGTCTGGCACACAGCCTCCAAGCCCCATCTTCTCACCTGCGGTGACGGCGACATTTTCCACCACAGGTTTCGAGAAGGGAGGATCGGCCATCTCACAGCCGCCACCGACACCCCTCCAGTCAGTCCGAGCCGGAACTACGCGTCAGCCACATCCGGTACCTCTCTCCCTCACCTCGTGACACCGCCGGCCAATGGGAAAGCCCCACCTCTTTGTTCGCCGGCTCTTCCATGAACCAATAAGGGCGCAGAACGGGTTTGGCCAATCGGGAGGGAGAAGGAAGGGGGGGAAAGGGGCGCGTGGAATGGAACGGCAGCCAATCAGGAAAAGGGGGCGGAGCAAGGGGGGATGCGTGGGTTGGGCTGAGCCACTGCTGGGAGTCTGCGGGGGCTTCGGGCGAAGATGCAGCCGGAAGGGGAGTTTTGTTTTTCCTCTTCTTCCTGTTGGTGCGCCGAAGTTAGTTCCCAGGCGGATCAGATGACAATTAGAAAGACTGTCTGTTCCTGGGTGGGTGGGTGTTGAACCACGTCCCCTTCTTTGGCAAGTCCCCACCCCTTACAGCGTACTTACCTTCTACAAGAGAAAAGAGCAAGAGTCTCAGCAGCACCTTAAAGACTAACAAAATATTTTGTTAGTCTTTAAGGTGGTGCTGGGCAATGTTCCCTCTAAGCTGTGGAGTCTTGTGAGCAAAAATTCTCCTTTGTGAGCCACTGGCATTAAAGTTGTGAGCAAGTGATTTGGCTGCTGCATAGATTAGTTTGCTCTGGAGCCATCCTTCCTGAGCTAAGGCAGAGATGTGTGAGCCGGAGGCTAAAGAACTGTGAGCTAGCTCACACTAACTCAGCTTAGAGGGAACAGTGGCTGGGACTCTTGCTCTTTTCTACTGCTACAGACAGACTCACACGGCGACCAAGGCTCCCCCTAAGCTGTGGAGTCTTGTGAGCAAAAATTCTAGTTTGTGAGCTACTGGCCTTAAAGTTGGGAGCGAGCGATTTGGCTGCTGCATAGATTAGTTTGCTCTGGAGCCGTCCCTTCCTGAGCAAATACAAAAATGTGTGAGCCGGAGGCTAAAAAACTGTGAGCTAGCTCACACTAACTCAGCTTAGAGGGAACTGAGTCGGCGACCCATCTTGATTTATCTTCTACAGAACTGTCGCCTTTGTTTTTCTAGCTAGCCTGCAAGATGCGTCAGTACAGGGCAGATGCACGCCCGCGACTCTTGTCTCGGGTACTGCCGTCTTTCAAGAAAACAGACAAGGATTGCAAGTACAGTTGCCAGTCACCGGGTGGCAGTTGGAGATTTCCCAGAATTGCAGCTGGTCTCCCTGTTACAGGGAGGATCCAGGGATGCCAGCCTACAGGTGGGACCTGGGGATCCCCCTAGAATTACTAGAGTAGTACTTCTCCAGACTACAGAGATCAGTTCCCCGGGAGGAAATGGAGGCTTTGGAAGGTGGACTGCATAGCATTGTGCCCTACTGAGGTCCCTGGTCCTGCCCAGGCTCCACCCTCAGATCTCCAGGAGTTTCCCAAACAGGATCTGGCAACCTTATCCCCCCGTCCCCTGCTGGTGGTCAGGGGGAACCTGGCTACCTTACATCAGTTCCCCTGGAGGAAATTACTTCTTTGGAAGGTGTGCTCCATGGCACTTGTACCCCGCTGAGGTCCCACCCCAGGCTCCACCCCCAAAATCTCCTGGTCTTCCCAACCTAGAGCTGGCAGCCCTGCAGACAGACAGCAGCTCTTCCTATGCTTGAGGGCCATTTTATGTATTCCACATCTTCAAGTGACAAACACGTATGTATCAACTCACCCTCACGGGGGGAAGAGAGATGGATGAAAGTCATTGAAGACCATCTACCAGGATTATAATGAGTGTTGGTAGGGGTAGTGGAAGAAAGCAGAAGATTGAAGTTTGAGTCCAGTGGCACCTTTAAGACCAACAAAGTTTAACTCTGGGTGTAAGCTTTCGTGTGCATGCACATTTCATCAGTTTCACATTAAGCGTTTTCCTCAAGCTTTATGAATAGGTAGGGGGGATTAGTTGCCAGGAAGGGCTAGTTAGAGTTAGACACATAAGGAACTGGGCGATAAGTATAGCTGAGGATCTTGGAGACCAAGGTTCAAGCCCCCATTTCTGCCATGGAAGCCCACTGGGTGCCCTTGGGCCAGTCAAACTCATCGCTTAGCCGACCTCAATGAGAAAATGGAGGGAGGCATGGTGTAACTGATGGGCAGCCAGTGGAGTGACTGCAGAATGGGAATAATATGCAGGCCTGTCTTGTTCAGTCGCAGTCGAGTCCGACTCTTTGTGACCCCATGGACCAGATCACGCCAGGCCTTCCGGTCTTCCGCCATCCTCTGAAGTTGGCTCAACTTCCATGTTTGTTGCATCTATGACACTGTCTAACCATCTCATCCTTTGCCGTCCCCGTCTTCTTTGACCTTCAATCGTTCCCAGCATCAGGGTCTTCTTCTCCAGTGAGTGCTCCCTTCTCATTTGGTGGCCAAAGTATTTGAGCTTCAATTTTATTATCTGGCCTTCCAGGGAACAGTCAGGGTTGATTTCTTTTAGGATTGACTGATTTGATCTTCTTGCAGTCCAAGGGACTCTCAAGAGTCTTCTCCAGCACCATAGTTCAAAAGAATCTATTCTTTGAGCTCCTGATAATAGCCTAACTGTGACATTCTACACTAGCTGGAGTTTCAAAATGGATTTTGAGGGGAGACTAATGTGCAGTGCAATGACACCATAGCCAAATCAGCCGTACATTTGGCGACTCAGCTCGGCTGAGTTGGAAGAAACCTTTTTTGGGGCAACTGCATTAACTTGCTTCTCTAGCAATACTGTTGAGTCCAATGTAAGCCTGAGGCTCTTAACTGAGTCAGCAAGGGTCAGATGAGCCCCATCAAATGGGAGCATAACATCCTTCAAAACCTCTGCCTTTCCAACCAGCATGTGTATTTCCAGGATTTAGTTTAGTTTCAATTTGTTCACTTTTAAGCCATTCAACCACAGCTGCCAGGCAGTGATTCAGGATCTCTACTGCATCACTAGATTTGGATAAGGATACATATGTGTATCATATGTACATTGATGACAGCCAATCCAAAAACTCAGAATGATTTGGCGTAAAGGTTTTATATAAAGATTGAACAGCATGGGGAATAGGATTGTCCCATGGGACCCCAGAGGATAGGTCCCACACTGATAACTGGTCTCCAGTGGCAATTCTGAATGAATTCTGAATGGAAAGGGACTAATGTGCCCTTTGTCAAACTCGGGCCTCATTTCTTAATTGCCTGTCTTTGGTATCTGTAAGCTCACTGCCTTGTTTCACTCTGGCTGGGAATTGGGGGGGGGGGAGGAGTGTGTGAGTACGTGTGTGGAGTTGCTCTGCTGAGAGTCACACTGGCTTGTAACTGTCCATGTGGGACACCCACCTTGGTGGGAAGTATGGGTGCTTGACCTTGAGTACCAGACACTGCTAGATAATGTAACCGTAGATTTGCAGGTGCTGGAGGAGGGCCAATGGTGTACCATAGATTTTGGCAGGCTGGATGTATGGGTGTGATTGCTCTGGTCACTGTTTGAATTATGTATAATTGGAGAATAATTGGGGGCATTGTTTGATTTATGTATAATTGGAGAACTGGCGCCAAGGGAGTCAGTTCTGACACAGACTCATCTATGCTTGAAACCTCTTTACCTCTCAATAAACAAATCACTGCCAAGAGAGTGTTGTTGGGAGCGAGTTCCTTCAAGACCTGACACCCTTTTGTGTACTGGTTAGGGTGTCTGACAAGGATCTGGGAGACCCAGGTTCGAATCCCCACTCTGCCATGGAAGCTTGCTGGGTGACCTTGGGCCAGTCACATACACTCAACCTAGCCTACTTCACAGGGCTGTTGTGAGGACAGGAGAATGAGGTAAGCTGCCCTGATGGGCAATTCATGCCGAATAGCCTAATTATCTGTTGTCATTTTACCCTAAGCCCATTCGTGAGGAGGGTAGAATATAAATGTGAAAAATAAACAAACAGTGAAAATAAACCGGTATTTGATTTCAGACATCTCAGGTAGTCCTCTTGCATTGTGGCTCGGTGAGTGATCACCTGTATCATGCACAGAAGGTCCAGTTAAAAGGACTTCCGGCCAACAGGGCTGGGAAACCTTGTAAAGTTGCTGCCAGCCAGACTCAGGATAAGGCAGTTTTATAGGCACAGGGGGAGGAACCAAACATTAGCACTGATCACAGTGCCACACTTGCACAAAGACACATTTATTTATACTTCAAATGTACAGTATAAAATTTACAAGCTGTGATTTAATTCACATAAACCAATAGAGCCTCTGGAAAAACCCTAAAAAAAACCCCACTACCATCTTGGCTCTTTAGCACATTCAAATGTGTTGACCAGACAATTATAGAATCGAATTCTGCAGACCCTCCGGAGGTAGAAAATGTTTTATGATCCGTTGGCCATTGCATCTTCTTCCATCTCTTCTTCAGTTTCATCTGATGGGCCTGCGCAAGACAGAGTTGTTAATGCTTCAAGTCTGCCAACCAGTTGATGACACACACACACACCCCACGGAAAGATCAGTGCTTTCAGCAATAAAAGTATCTCCCACATTTGTAAGCAGTGTACCAGACTGACAGCACTAGGTGCATTTCCAAATCCTTCAACTGCATCTTCTTGCAGGAATGTTGCCAGTCACAGAGAGCAAGCAGCAGTTAGTGCTTTGTTCACTGAGCATCTGATGAAATGGGCTCTAGCCCACAAAAGCTCATCCTTCAACACATCTAGTGTTCTTTAAGATGCCACAAGACTCCCTTAGGTGCTACAGTAACTTTGTGTTTCACTGTGGCACCTTAAATGGAGTTTACCACTGAAACTATATTGTTGAGGTGTCAGAGTGTAATGGCACAAAGGTACACAGCTGTATGTCATGCATGTTCCATGAGTGGGAAGCCTCCATGTCAGGTGTGGAGAAGGATCTGGGAGACCCAGGGTCGAATTCCCACTCTGCCATGGAAGCTCGCTGGGTGACCTTGGGTCAGTCACACACTCTCAGCCTAGCCTACTTCACAGGGTTGCTGTGAGGATAAAACAGGAAAGGAGAACTATGTAAGCCACTTTGGGTCCCTACTGGGGAGAAAGGCAGGCTATAAATAAAGTAAATAATACATAAAAGTATCAACTGATAGAAAATTCCTCCATGTATAACATTAGCTTCTCAGGGAGAACTCTAGGATAGAACTTTCCTTCTCAGCATCTGGTTTTCCTGTGGAAGGAATTGTTCAACCATCCTGAAGCAGTGCAGCTCAGAAACAAGACTCAGTGTGGACTAGGCCTTTATGACAACCTTGTGCTGGACAGGAACCCACTTAACTGAGGTACTCTTCATTTTCTTCCCCCCATCCTTTGCCTTCTGCATGTGGAGCAAATGCTCTAGCAATGAAGATAGATCTAGGTGGGCAGCCATGTTGGTCTGAAGCAGCAGAACCAAGTTTGAGTCCAGTGGCACTTTTAAGACCAGCAAAGGTTTATTCAAGGTATGAGTTTCCGTGTGCACGCACACTTCCTCAGATGCATGGAAACGGAAGGTAACAGTTCACTGATATGTATAGAGGGGTGAACAGCAAATTAGCATACATCATAATGGAGATATTTTAACAGATGCAAAAACTAAACAGTTATAACAAGTTTGTTTGGATTTAATTACGGGAAAACACACTATATATGTGTCAAAATAGGAGACTAAATGTATCACTTTTATACAGTTGCCTATTTTCACATATTTACTGTGTTGTCCCATAATTAAATCCAAATAACTTAACTTGTTATAACTATTTAGTTTTTGCATCTGTTAAAACATCGTCATTATGCTGTATGCTGATTTAATGCTCACCCTCTCTCTCTCTATATATATATCTATATATCTAATTCCGAAGATGCCTCCTGTGTGCGGATACCTAAATCGGCACATCGGGGGCACCTGGGGGGGAGGGAGATTTTTGTGCACACTTGGTACGGTCCCCAGGTGTGCACAAAAATCTTAAAACCTGAAAAAAATATCAGGGGGATACTTAAATCCCCCCCAAAAGTAACAGAGCGTCCCCTGCGCCTGCGCAGGGAACGCTCTGCGAACTCCCTCGCCGCTGCCGCTTGGGGGGGGAAGAGAGCAGCAAGACCCGAGTGGCAAGCAGCGAGGCCCGAGCAGCAAGCAGCGAGGCCCGAGCGGCAAGCAGCGAGGCCCGAGCGGCAAGCAGCTCAGGCCTCGCTTCGGAGCCGGGGGTGGGGTAGGGAAGGGGGGGTGATA